GCAGCATATAACCCCACCCACTTTACCAAAGCATAGCCCCCAGACCACCAAAGGGATATCAACAGACCACTAACTTACTACCCTGAGACAAGGTAGAGTATAACCCACAAAGATCTCCTCCACCTCAGGCGCATGAGGGGGCGCATACCGGGACAAGAAGATCAAGTCAGTGACTCAACCCATTCAAGTTGAGTATAGCGAAAAAAGTCTGGCATGAAGTGATGCACCCTCTTAGGGATGGCATGGGATAGCCAGTGACTTAGTCCCTGTAATAGGGTCAGAGGCAGGGAATCCCAGTGGAGGGGATCCGGCCAGACAGACAGCAAGGGTGGTTCATCACTCCAGTGCCTTGCCGTTCACTAGTGCTGAGCGATTAGTGCTTTTTGAAGTCGGTTCGGTTTCGGTTCGATTATGTATGGGATAATCAACAAGAGGATCTATGTGTTCTATGGAAAATAATGAACAACGTGGAAGGTGTGTTCAACGACGCGCTAGCAGAGTGGAACTAACCTTCTGAGGAGTTGCATTATTTTCCAGAGAACGCATAGAGCCACGAGTTGATTATCCCTTTTATACCATGGCTATAATTTAACACATTTGCCACTAGAAATGTGTTCAACATCCACTAAAGTAGTTAGCAAGTTTACTAGATAGCGACAGTAGTTGCCTTGGTAACCAAACAAACAGACTTGCTAGTTTAGCTAACCAAACTAACGGTCCTGGCTTGCTATTATGAAATAGTTATTCAACAATGCCAATAATGTTTTCAATTGGACTATTGCTTTCAAAAGCAGCTCAAACATAGAACATGTAAGAATGAACCATAGCCATTGAACTCTACTGTGTAAATATACTGTGCATTATAAGGAAATAATGCACGCTCTAGAATTCCCTTCAAGCCAATCAGAAACGAGTATTCAACAATGCCATGGTATAATTAAGCAATAAGACACGAGGGGGTGTGGTAGATGGCCAATATACCACGGCTAAGGGCTGTTCTTATGCATGACACAACGCGGAGTGCGCCTGGACACAGCCCTTAGCCGTGGTATATTGGCCATATACTATAAACCCCAGAGGTGCCTTATTACTATTATAAACTGGTTACCAACGTAATTAGAGCAGTAAAAATGAATGTTTTGTCATACCTGTGGTATGCGGTCTGATATTCCACGGCTGTCAGCCGATCAGCATTCAGGTCTCGAACCACCCAGTTTGTAATACAAAATCATTCTTTTTTTAAACATTAAATGCATTTTGCATTATGTGCGTTGAATGCTGTAACACAGAATAAAACAATATAAGTCCCATGATGGTAGTGACTGCCCATTACTGCTTATCACTTATTAACCATCATTTATTCACATTACTTTAATACAATATTTCAGTTGTGTATATTACATTTGTTTTATTTGATGACTATTTCATTCCAAGTCATCTCATCTCAATAGAGCTGCTGCCTATGCAGTCTGACAATCACTATTTTGTAGTTCTTCAAAGTAAATAAGGCATACTTTTATGACTGCTGAATACAAACGATCAATGATTTAGATAATGTATTTTCAGGTAGATACACTACATGACCAAAAGTATGTGGACACCTGCTCGTCAAACATCTCATAACAAAATCATGGGCATTAATATGGAGTTGGTCCCCCCTTTGCTGCTATAACAGTCTCCACTCTTATGGGAAGGCTTTCCACTAGATGTTGGAATATTGCTGCAGGGACTTGCTTCCAATTCAGTCACAAGAACATTAGTGAGGTCAGGCACTGGTGTTGGGTGATTAGGCCTGGCTCGCAGTCGGCGTTCCAATTCATCCCAAAGGTGTTCGATGGGGTTGAGGTCAGAGCTCTGTGCAGCCCAGTCAAGTTCTTCCACACCGATCTCGACAAACCATTTCTGTATGGACCTCGCTTTGTGCAAGGGGCCATTGTCATGCTGAAACAGTAAGGGGCCTTCCCCAAACGGTTGGCACAAAGTTGGAAGCACCGAATCGTCTAGAATGTAATTGTATGCTGTAACTTTAAGAAGGGGCCTAGCCCGAACCATGAAAAACAGCCCCAGATCATTATTCCTCCAACTTTACAGTTGGTACTATGCATTTGGGCAGGTAGCGTTTCCCTGGCATCCGCCAAGCCCAAATTTGTCCGTCGAACTGCCAGATGGTGACGTGTGATTAATCACCTCACGATCTTGCACTCTATCTTCAGTAGCAGGCGGAAAATAAACAGACCGGACAAATAGATGCGCAGTGGATTAAGGTCTTTGTAGTTAATTACGAAGTTTTATGCTAAACTATGTAGAATATTGGCCTGTTGGAAACTACAACTCCCTACTAAATTCAACAGTTCAGGCTAATCGGATTTATCTCTGGAGAAACTGCATTGTGCGCATTGAGGTCACAGGAAAAAACTTTACGAAATGGTATTCAAATAATTTTGTGTCGGTCAATTAGTTGTTTAAAAACCGAAATACCGGTTAATCGCTCAGCACTACCATTCACCTTCGCACCCCTGGGCCAGACTACACTCAATCATAGAACCTACTGAAGTGGTGTTCAGTAAAGACTTAAAAGGTTGAGACCGAGTCTGCGTCTCTCACATGGATCGGCAGACCATTCCATAACTATGGGCTCTATAGCAGAAAGCTATGCTTCCAGCTGTTTGCTTAGAAATTGTAGGAACAATGAGGCCTGCATCTTGTGACCATAGCGTACGTATGTACGGCTGGACGAAATCCATGTAATGCTTTGTAGGTTAACAGTAACACCTTGAAATCAGCCCTAGCCTTAACAGGAAGCCAGTGTAGATGCTAGTACTGGAGTAATATGACCTAATTTGGGGGTTCCAGTCAAGATTTAGCAGGCGTATTTTGCACTAGCTGAAGTTTGTGCCTTATTCTTTATTTGAGTAGAACAATCCATTATGATTTACACCAATGCTTAAGGGAGCAGGCTAGGGCCTGGGTTACATGACTGAATCCTGTTAGACTGGTAAACTGCACATCCGGGTATGTCCACAACCGGGAACAATTACTCAGAGCATAATAGGTGACCCTGAAATCAGTCTGGATGAAGTCAAGAAAAAGTGTTGACAAGTGTATTTAGCAGTCGCAGGAAACTTTTCCCAGCTAACGTCTGAATCAGGCCTTGATGTATGCTGCCACCTGCTGGTTCACTAGATTACTACTTGGTGGAACAACCTTGACATACCTACACTTCCGTTATGGGCAGCATAAGAAGTCATTCATGATTGAAATTGAACACATTCATGAGAGCTGTATGTAAACTGTGCATGACAAGCAAAGTAGCGAGCAAGCAAAGTATTTATTCCACAAACATAGCAAATGACATTACAAATATACAGTTGGATCATGGTAAAAAAAAAGCATACACATGTATACAACTTGAGAGTTAAGAACATTAAATGTGAAATGACAACTAAAGTGTATTCAAACAATCCTTGATTTTCTCCATGTCCAGTTGTCAATTATGATGAGCAGCTGCAGCACAGCACTTGATCATACTGTCCACTGTAACTGAGGATAGAGAAAACAATGAGTAATAGGCTAAATAAAGTGCAATAGACACTAGATGCTCTGTACTGCTTGCTTAATCATAAAACACTGCATACCATTGTAGTACCCTCATGGAAAGTTGTGCCTGTGTTGTCAGTGCACATTTACCAGTTATGCAGGGTTTCGCAGAGTCCAGTCTAAGGCTGGGCGATATGGCCTAAAATGTATATCTCAATTTTTTTTTTTTCAAACTTACAGGCGAATCATGATAGCTTATTTAAAAATAAAAATAGTCTCTTGTACAATTAAAAAGGTCAAATACGCTGCATTTCAAACAGTCATCAATAATATAATGAATTCAAGGCGTGTGAAATTAGCCCAAATATAAAAACCCACTAATCAATTCATTATTTTATCAAAACAGTTTAACCTGCTTTTTTTGCAATAATCACTGACCTGGCTTTCAAGTCTGTCTATGAAAATGCCTTTGTAACAAATTTAAAACCAGAACCATGCATAATGCACATTCACTAATAAAATACCTATGAATTTACATTTTAGTCATTTAGCAGACGCTCTTATCCAGAGCGACTTACAGTTAGTGAGTGCATACATTTTCATACTGGCCCTGTGGGAAACGAACCCACAACCCTGGCGTTGGAAGCGCCATGCTCTACCAACTGAGCTACAGGGGACTATGCACATGCACTAATAAAATGACTAACTTATTGTCGCAGGCATTATAGAAAAGAACAAGCCCACGTGCTCGTGAGTAGCCAGCTAATCTTTATATTTCAAGTTTTGCCAACTTGGATGCATTTGCTAGCTAACAAGGCAGAACAGCTGAATTGTTATGAACACACCCGTCTTCAACTGAACAGCATGCTGCTAGCGGTACCGCAATGCCATGTGTGACAAACTAAGCATTCATTTTCCAGAATCAATGTTCATTGATACTCCTGTTTTAGTAATGTCTGCTCTGCACGCAATTTGAGTAGTTGAGTCATAAAACGCTTATCGTTAGAAAGGTTAACTTTTCTATTACAGTAAAATAACGTCTCAATGTGTTTTGTGTCGTTATGACCGCTTCTGTTGGACCAAACCTCAAAAGCAAATAGCGAATTGAAACCGCTTGTCAGAGGGGCAGTGGTGCAGGTTACGTTATATGACCATGCTGTCTATTGTTCTGCCCCTTTAGCACATGCTGACAAAAGGGAGCTACCGGTTTCTTTTATTACAGATGTATTTGGCGTTGGCCACGCCTACGGCCATACAGTACCCTGTATGAGTGTTGAGAAACTTTAAGTTAAGAACTCTATCTACTCTGAAAATTATTTTATTTACAACTTCCTGAGGTCATTACACTATGATCGCGAAATCGCAATAGATGCAGTGCTTGCAGTTTTTACTCAACTCGGAAGAAATGCTCCCTCTGACTCGATTAAAAAATTGGCAAATTCAGTGGATGAAAGGAGTGTCACTTACTCGATGACAGTGCAGACAGAGCAGCAGGAGCTGGAGCAGCTGGCGCACTGCTGGATGCAGGAAGGGCAGGCTGGGCGGTCACACTGGGAGCACGGCCTCCTGGTGCCCTGGGCCTTCTGACACACACAGCACCCCGCTGGAGCCGACACTGCACCTGAGACGACCACACAGACCATTCTGGAAATGTGTCGAAATATCCCAATTGTGGGCAAGTTTCAGTCTCATGTACTAAAGCACAGGTGTCAAACTCATTACACAGAGAGCAGAGTGTCTGTGGGTTCACACTGCTCCCCTGTACGTGATCAATTAAGGTCACAGATTCGTTCGAAAATCACTTCACCTGGTTGTTTATAGGGCTGGGACAATACCAATATTGCAATACTCGTTAGTATCGTGGCAAGGAAACAAAACATGAAGCAGATTTAACTGCTTTAGGAAAAACAGCCCTAACGTCACCCAGAGTCGCATTAATTTATTTTACAACCTATTGCACACAATATTTACATACAGCAGGTTTAAAGGACAAGATTGGTCTGCTTCGTGTTTTCATATGTAAAAAAATATTGTGATACTGGTATTGTCCCGGCCCTAGTTGTTTAAGTCTTAAATTGAGATTTGTTTTTGCAATAACCAGCAATTTCACACCCCTGTACTAAAGAGTAATACTTTGCTGAAATGAAGTTGGAATGGGGATTCCAAGTCTGATAGTAGTGGTTTCCCTTCAGCCCATTCTCAGATGTGGGTGAAAGGTTGCAGTTCACTTGAGAAGCTCATTACCTTGAACAGGTGTAGTTCTCTGTAGTCTGCCATCCTGTCCAATCAGTGTCTGTCCCCTCAGTAGTGTCTGGCTCACATCAGATGTCATTGATGTCATACCTGGCCCCGATGGCTGTGTCGCTGAGCACTTCTCTGTATCTATATTCCAGATTTTCCCCATGACAGCTTTCGTACCATTGAAGAGCAGGTTCCTTGTCTTTTCTGGAAGAGAGGTGCCGAGAGATTATAAACACATAGTAGCAGAATGACAGTACATGCCCAGAAGCTTGACATACACACAAAAGTATGTGGTTACCCATTCAAATTAGTGGATTCGGACATTTCCGCCACACCTGTTGCTGACAGGTGTAGACAAATGTTGACAGTAGAATGGCCTTACTGAAGAGCTCAGTGACTTTCAATGTGGCACCATCATAGGTTGCCACCTTTCCAACAAGTCACTTAACCAAATTTCGCACGCAAGCCTAAGATCACCATGCGCAATGCCAAGCGTCGGCTGGACTGGTGTAAAGCTCACGCCATTGGACTCTGGAGCAGTGGTAACACTTTCTCTGGAGTGCTGAATCACACTTCACTATCTGACAGTCCGACAGACAAATCTGGGTTTGACAGATGCCAGGAGAACGCTACCTGCCGGAACGCATAGTGCCAACTGTAAAGCTTGGTGGAGGAAGAATAATGGTCCGGGGCTGTTTTTCATGGTTCGGGCTAGGCTCCTTAGTTCCAGTGAAGGGAAATCTTAACGCTACAGCATACAATGACATTGTAGACAATTCTGTGCTTCCAACTTTGTGGCAACAGTTTGGGGAAGGCCCTTTCCTGTTTCAGCATGACAACGCCCCCATGCACAATGCAAGGTCCATACAGAAATGGTTTGTTGAGATCGGTGTGAATGAACTTGACTGGCGTGCACAGGACCCTGACCTCAACCCCATCAGGATGAATTGGAACGTTGACTGCGAGCCATGCCTACTCGCCCAACATCAGTGCCCAACCTCATTAATGCTCTTGTGGCTGAATGAAAGCAAGTCCCCACAGCAATGTTCCAACATCTAGTGGAAAGCCTTCCCAGAAGAGTGGAGGCTGTTATAGCAGCAAAGGGGGGGACCAACTCCATATTAATGCCCATGATTTTGGAACGAGTTGTTCGACGAGCAGGTGTCCACATACTTTTGGTAATTTAGTGTAACTGTCTTCTGACTAGGTGACAGTAAAACAACATAATAGTTAACTAGCTGCCAGGAAGCATGGCCAAATTCAAACATCCCTCGTATTAGCTAGCTAACTACAGTACTGTCGCGCATGAGACACATTCACCTAACGTTGGCTAGATTAAACATCCACCCAGCTATTTGTTAGACTTGTAGCTAGGTAGTGGCTACCTAAAAATAGCCACCAAAGGCAAAAACAAACTGCATTAAATGCCTGTCGTGGGTGGATTAGCTATATAGATAATGTTAATATCAAGTAGCTAATAACTGGACATTAACGTTTGGTGTAGTTAGCTAGTTACCAGTATTTGGTGTAATCTAGCTAATTAGCTAGTACAGCCAGATATATCTGGTACAAGCTGGCTAAACAACACCAAACAGAGTAGGGCCAGCTAGCTAGCATTGTTAAGTTAGCGAATGTCTGAATAATTAGTTAGCTAGCCAGAAAACATTACCGTAGATCTCTTGTCTGTACTTGTTCCCAAATACGCCGTGATAATTCAACTCCTTTTGTCCAACGTGAATTTTATACTGTGACGAGAATGATTCAGCGAAAGGATACACTCTTTTAGTCATTTCTGCGAAAAACGTGCATTCAAACTTGATTCCTTCAACACCGGAAGAATACCGTTCTTATACCTCAGTGGAAATACGCTAGCGCGCTAACTAACCAATCCGATCTTGGACCTCTTATCACGTGACACTGCAAAAACATTTCTCACTTAAACCAGTGTCTCAAACCACACTCAGGAGTTTATAAATGTTCGTGTTTCTTTGTGTTACAATGTTTAAGAAAACTCACATTTTAATATCATTACTAGCTACATACTATCATTCATCAATGCACTAAAATGTAAAAATACCAAGATATGTAGCCATCATATAAGTTTTATTTTAAAGCATTGTAGCTAGCAAAGACAAATCAAATCCCATATTAGCCTACTACAAAATTACTTGCATTAACAAGGATGACAATTATGTATCACACTGTTTCACTCCTAAACATGTTTATTATGCAAACAGTCAGCTGGTTGATACAAAATATATGTTGTCTGCTGGTGTGATAAATGTGTAAAGAAGACCGAAACAGTAGATAAGGTTACACAGGAGGAAAAGTTATTGGATGTGTTTTTTTCTTTCATGGTTGTTGTGTGGCACAAGGTAAGATTTACTTTCTGGCCGACATCATCACAAGGCAACTTAAAGATGACAAGCACTGCATAGATAGATGTAAAGTTACCAACATTTACAGTCAACATTTTTTCAGAGCTACACAAATCTGTTGGCAAATTGTTTTTTACAGAATATTATACCGTTTGGGGGTTGCAAATATATGTCACATCATGCCATATCTTTGTGCGTCCATCTTGGGGAGAGAGGAGGTAAACTCTCTAGAACATCTGGATCATGCACTCTCTGGACTTTCCTATGCCGACCCACTTAACTGTAGAGAGAAATGAAAAGGACATGTCAAAAAAAGACTAACAAATCCCCAAAACATTTGCACTAGACTAGTATCATCCTTGCAGAATTGTGTACTAGTTATGATATAGACAATAGTGCCCCCCTACTGGCACATTTAAGCCATGTCCCTGATCCTCGGTTGGCTCTTCAGTTTCCTATATAGGGGTCAGTAACAGTAATCGTATACTGGAGTATGGTATGGTTAAAACTGGGTCATGTTCGGTAGAAGAAAATGTTTTGAAATGGAGTGAAATGGAGGAGGTACTACTACTATGACCTATAGGCCTACTTGTCCAATAAGAAGGCTTTATTTTGTTTTCAGTTTGGGTCAGCAGGAACACCCTGTATCCTAATTGTAACTTACTGGGTACTCCAATGTGGTTCTCCACAAAGCGGATGTAGTTCTGAGCCTTCTGGGGGAGATCATTCCACTTCCTGGCTGCGGACGTGTCACTCTTCCAGCCGGGGAAGGTCTCATACTCTACCTCCACTTTGTGCAACAGCTCCATGTTAGCTATGTGAATGAAGGATGAAGATCATTATAAATCAGAGGAAAAATCAAATGTTTTTGTAGAGATAATACTTAATGAATTCTCTAAATGTATATTTTACAGGGTAGGCCTAGTTTGGTACAGTACTTTTGAATCGAATTTAGAGAGCATACCTGGGAAATTGGGAATTCTTTTGCCATTGATTTTGTAGGCCACTCCTACTTTGATCTCATCCAGCACATCAAGGATGTCAAGTTTTGTCAAAGCAATGCTGTAAGGAAACAATGTTATTTGTTTAACACATTTCAGGAAAGAGATGAAAACTACTACATGGGTTACATTCAGAGTAGCAGTCATAGACAGATACAGCACATTGAACCAGGCAGATAAAGAAATAACACATAAAAAAACGTGCCTTTCGTGAACTAACACTCGCCCTTGACTTTTTTCTCCCATACTAGCACTGACTTTGCTGATAGTTACTTTATTTAAGAAAAATGTACTTACTATGACTGAGATATGTGATTGTCCCACCTAGCTATCTTAAAATGAATGCACTAACTGTAAATCTCTCTGGATTAGAGCGTCTGCTAAATGACTAACATGTAGAATGTAAATGTAGTAAAGAGTAGGGTTAGATATTTAAAAAGAGTTAGGTTTGGCCACCTCTCTTTCAGTCATATCCACTCACGCAGTGAAGCCATTGATCATGTGAGCGTATCTCAGGATGACCAGGTCCAGCCAGCCACAGCGACGCTTCCTGCCCGTGGTCACGCCCACCTCATGACCTCTTGTCTGCAGCAGCTCACCTGTCACCTGCACAAAACACACTCAGTTATCTAGAATAGATCACTTGATTGATCAATAGTCAAATACTTCAGTGTTGTCCACTTATGGGCACTAATCTTAATAGTTGTTATTAATAAAACATTCTTAAAAAGAAACACTTGTGCGGTGGGGGAGATCTTTGTGGACTATACTCAGCCTTGTCTTAGGGCAGTAAGTTAGTAGTCTGATGATATCCTTTTGGTGGTGTGGGGGCTGTGCTTTGGCAAAGTGGGTGGGGTTACATCCTGCCTGGTTGGCCCTGTCCGGGGGTAACTTTGGACGGGGCCACAGTGTCCCCCGACCCCCCCCTGTCTCAGTCCCAAGTATCTAGCTCAGTTGGTAGAGCATGGCGTTTGCAACGCCAGGGTTGTGGGTTCGTTTCCCACGGGGGACCAGTATGAAAAAAAATAAATATTATGCACTCACTAACTGTAAGTCGCTCTGGATAAAAGCGTCTGCTAAATGACTAAAATCTATTCTGCAATAGTCTATGTGCCAGGGGGCTATGGTCAGTCTGTCCTATCTGGTGTTCTGTGTGATCTTAGTTATGCTCCCTCTATTTCTCTCCTGTCCTCTCTCTTTCTCTCTCTCCTCTCTCTCTGTCTCCCCTCCCGGAGGACCTGAGCCCTAGGTCCATGCCTCAGAACTACCTGGCCTGACAACTCCTGGCTGTCCCCATCCCCAGTCCAACTGGTTTTGCTGCTGATCCAGTTCATGCTGTTCTGCCTGCGGCTATGAAACCCTGACCTGTTCACCGACCTCTGAATGCTCGGCTATGAAAAGCCAACTGACATTTACTCCTGACCTGTTGCACCCTCTATAACCACTGTGATTATTATTTGACCCTGCTGGTCATCTATGAACATTTGAACATCTTGAAGAACGATCTGGCCTTAATGGCCATGTACTGTTATAAAAGGTTTCTTCCTAGTTTTTTCCTAGCCACTGTGCTTCTACATCTGCATTGCTTGCTCTTTGGGGTTTTAGACTGGGTATAAGGGCTTCATAAAATAAATGTGATTGATCTAATAAAATGCAAAGTAAACCAATACATTTACAGTTGGAGTGAGGGATCAAGCTGAAACATGTTGACCAGCAGCCCCATGGACAGTTCTCATGTTAGGTTACATAACCCCAGACCAGATAGTAAATCTATCTTGAACCCTGACTCTGGCCTAAATTTAGGCCCTGAACATGTGATCAGCATGAGAGCTAAAGAGTGTTATAACAGGCCTCTCACACGATCTGACAGCTGGCCACAAAGGCAGCGCCTTTTGATACCAGGCTTCCTACATGTGTGAGAGTCATATGATCTTAAACACTAGGCTTACTATACATATCCAACTCTACTTGTACCTCAAAAGAAAACAACATGTCTAAACAAACTGTATATATCAAACTACTAAACCTTCCTGTATGTAAATGCACTACAACCTCTGCTAAGAGGTCTTCCACCTTCATGACACAGGTGATAGTGCACTCTCTCACTCAAGGTTACTGGTTCAAGTCTTGCTCTGGCTGTTCATCTTTAATCGTTACATTAGAATCTCCTTATTGAGAGAGTCAAGAATGTCCATATAGATGAATGAGCTCTTACATTGAGTTGTTCTGTGGGGAAGGCACCAATTCCCACCCTGGTGGTGTAGGCCTTTGATACACCATACACTTCACCAATATTCAGTGGAGGGATGCCAAGACCAGTGCATGCCCCACCAACGGTGCAGTTTGATGAGGTCACAAAAGGATATGTGCCTAAAGGGAAGAGAGAAAGTGGAAATAAACTTACATACAGATGGTTTGTCCATTTAACCATCACACTTTCCTGTCCATCTCATCATTGGCACGATCCTCAATGCAGGACCGAAACGTTGTTTGCTTGTGAATAAAGGCACGTGTTGGAGCTTAGGAGTGTGCAGGCTCTATTTCTTTTATAATAATCCGCAATGGGACCATGACATTTCTTACCAAAGTCAATGTCGAGGAGGGCAGCATTGGCCCCTTCCACCAGGATTTTCTTTGGGGGTCCATGAAGAGCCTCGTACATGTAGTAGACTCCATCTCGCACCATCGGCCGCAACCTCTCTCCATACTCCTGCACAATACAAGACAACAAGAAGTCTCATAGATCTAATATATCCATAGCCCATGACTATTCATTCAGAGGGGATTTACCGAATACCTTCAGTTTTTTTAGCTGACTTTCAGTATCAACTGTCAGGGATGAGTACATGGACTGGTACTGTTCGACAAGGTTCTTGAATCTGAAAGAAACCCCCAAATCATCTCAATCTCTATCACTTTTCAGTTTAGTGGGTCAATTTAGTTCAAGAGCAAAGTCTTGAGACAGCCACAATCATATACTTTTGGACTCTCAAAATGTTTATTGTATGTCAGGTTTAGATGTTTATATTGTGTCCTGTCTTTCAGTAAGCATACTTGGTAGAGAACTCCTTGAAGTCTCCCAGCAGGTCACAGACACGCAGTCCTATGCGAGATGCTTTGCTGGCATAGGTGGGTCCAATGCCTTTCTTGGTTGTTCCAATTCTGTCATGAGAAAAAAACACCTGTTTTAGCTGAGGGGATTACAAAGTAGCATCTACAATTATTCATCAGATGTGAAAGTGATTGACTGAAGTCCTGGGATTTCTATTGACAGTGGACCATTGTACTCTCTACCCCTATGCAAGCAACCATTGCCTTCCCTACCCTTACATCTTTCCCTCTGTTGCTTGTCGCTGGGTCTCCTGAATTCCATCAACAACCTGGTGGAAATCAAACACTGTCGAAAGATAAAAGCAAAATAAATGTCATCCTTTCTCTAAGCACAATACACAGATATACACTGAGTATACCGAACATTAGGAACACCTTCATAATATTGAGTTGCAAAATACAGAAATCATCCCTGTATGATGCATTTTGCAAAACGCAGCATCATATGATGCAAAATGCAGCATCATATGATGCAAAATACAGCATCATATGATGCAAAATGCATCATACAGGGATGATTTCTGTATTTCTTAAATTATATATCTTGAAAACTTGATTGGTGACAAGCAAAACATTTTGGAACTATGTCAACAATGGACTAATGAAACAAATACCCAAAGCTGGACTTTTCCTTTAAATCTTGTCTTGCCCATTCACCCTCTGAATGGCACACATACACGATCCATGTCTCAATTGTCTCAAGGCTTAAAAATCCTTCTTTAACCTGTCTCCTCCCCTTCATCTACATTGATTGAAGTGGATTTAACAAGTGACATCAATAAAGGAACATAGCTTTCACCTGGAAAGAGCAGGTGTTCTTAATGTTTTGTATACTCAGTGTACATTATGCAGATAAACAAACACACCAAATAGCACATATTCTGTATACATCTTCACTTCATTTGTGAAACTACAAAATACACACATACCAAGGTGAGCTCTGTCAGAGACAATTAGTCTCTTCTCCCAGCCTTTGAGACCTGGTCAGAGAATGGAGAAAAAAAAATACTGTAATGGTTTCCTCAAACTTGACAACTACAGCATTGACTGTTATTCTAAAAATACTTGATTTACCTTTCTTCTCATTCTTCTCCGCCTCCTCAAACAAACCTGGTAGGTGTATGACTACGCCATTACCTACAAAGGAACATATGCTGGATAAATGAGAACATACTGACCATTGCCTACTGGAGTTAGTGGAAATGGGGATAAAGAGTAGAGAAACACTCACCAATGACACATATACTTTTGGGGTTGATAATTCCACTGGGGAGAAGGTGGAAGTCATACTCTTTACCTTCCACTACCACTGTGTGGCCTGCATTGTTACCGCCCTGGAAGATCAAAACAAGATCGTGTTTAGCAAACCTCCAACTGTCACCAAAGTCTAGCAGCTTGATTTCACAGAAGGACAATTATTGATTTGATTTATGGCTGTTACTCGTAAAGGGAGAGCAAAATGTGGACATTAAAGAGTCAGGATATCCACTGGCCATACATCCAGAGCAAATGTATAATCTTATTTTAGTCAGTGGGTAATAGAGTCCAAGCCCCCTCCTTGTCACCAATCTACCCCCCACCAACTATTTTAACAGACTTGGCTGCCAGACCCTCCACTCCATGCACCCTGGCTAAGACCTTCTAAATGTCAAGTCACCCTGGGAATGTGACCCTGCACCAGCCCAGTGGGTTGGGCAGGCTGAAGGAGTACACAGAGTGCTCAGTGCTGTGACCTGCTGTCAATGGAGAGTACAACACAACAACTGTGTAATGGACTTTACGCTGTTAGTCTCCCAATAAATTATTTCTGAGCAAGTTTTGTTTTTCTTTGCTGGTCAAAGAGAAACTTTGATCTAAAGAAACTTTGCCTAAGTGTCATTATTGACATCATCTTCATTAAGGGGGTTCGGCTCTATATAGCAGAATAGTTTATGACACCCTCTTTATGATATCAATAAACCTTTGTAATACTATGAGTATTGATCTAATTGTGATCTAACGCTTCCTTCCCCCAGCAGTACTGTGTGAATTTTGCTTTTTGCCCTATGTTGGTACTTCGGTCTATTTTAGCATTTTACTGTATAGGTCTTCAGATAGATACAATTTACAGCTAAGTGATGTGTGAGGTATGGATCCCCAGTTGAGAGACTATGCTTTCAAGTTCGTAATGATCATGTCATAAGAAGAGACAAATAACCAGTCAATAGCGTTCCAATTTGAAAAGTTTAATTTAAACTCCAGTCAAGTCAATAAATTAAAATTCAGTTGAAATTGAAGAACGGTTAATAGTCCACCAAGGAATTTTTCAATTCTTAAAACAATTAAATGTAAACTAATTTTCTGCAATGATAAAATAGAAAGCAAAACAGAACTTTATTGATCCTAAATTCCCTTATAACCTCGAGGACACCACATAACAAAACAAAAGACGCATCATGAATTTCACAGCAACCATGCGTTATAATTCAATGACATGATGACAACTTTTGTCAGTTCAAGTATGTGAACGTTGCATTAATATCGTATCATATACACACGATATTACCTGACATCTGCAAACAAGGTCAGACTCAGTCGCCAATAAATCGACGACTTTTCCTTTGCCTTCATCTCCCCATTGCGCACCGAGCACCACTGTCACTTTGTTCGCTGTTTCGTTCCGTGGCCGCTTCAGCCCTTGGGTTGGGTTGGAGGGTGGATTTGTATAACTCTTGTGGTCTTTTGCTGACCAGCTAAACGACATGATGTTGCTTAGGCTGTCCGTCCGAAACAGACTAGAATGTTTCCAAGAGTAGCATTGACATATCAATGTCTCGGTGATGTCAGGACGCACGGACGCAGGGATGTAATCATTAGTCCAAACAGTTGTTTCTATTGGACACATTCAGGTAGGCCCCTCCCCGTTTCGTTCCGTTAGCTTCTGTTTAAGGAACGTTTTGCAACAGACTCGGCGTAATGAATTCCCCCATGATCTCGAACGGCGCCTGCATGGGGAGCCCTGTCTCTCAAATCCACAGGTTTACTTAAAACTTGTTTGATGTCAATAAAAAGAAAGGCAAATATCATGGTTATAATTTTTTAAACATTATTTACATTGTATGGCAATGTGGAAAAATGACGAAAATCACTAAATAGAAAAGGGAAATCTACACATTTAAGGCACCTCTGTACAGGTAAACTAGAATTATTCCGTTTGTGGGCAGAAATTTTTTTTTTGGGCAGTTAGGTGGCCTACAATGCTTATATTAAAATCATAACTGGCACTCAGATCTTTCGAAATGGTAGGATCAATTGTAGACCTAAATTGGCACTCCACATGAAAAAGGTTGCCGACCCGGGCTATAGGCTACATGAAGCCAGAGGTGTGGAACGGCGAATAAGCTCACAGTGTACCATGACAGTGTCATTGTCTCGTGCGCTTCCCACCAACATTGTCTCGTTGCGCTGCATTCAGAGATGTTCTTCATAATGTGTGCGCCCAGCTAATTTTTGCATTTTCTAAATTATCCGCATGGGAAGGGAAGGAAACATTCTGCGAATATTTAAGAGTTGTAAGAACATTTTTCCCGGGGCCAGATGACATGTTCTGAATCTACAAGAAGTTGGGGAAACAACCAGGGTGATATCAGGTAAAATGGGCCATCAGGTAAAATGGGCCATTTAAGGTTTGGGGGTCCCAGCCCCTCTGGAATTTAGAGCCAATGACTGCAAAGGATTTCAAACTGTTGTCATAACTGTACTTGACAAGTAACAGGTGATTTGATTGGTTCATGGTTGCTATGGTGGGCAGTGCAATAATTCAAATCAAGACTGCACCAGAAAGCTGCATGGTGAGTAGCCTGGCATACCAAATCTAACTAAACTATTATAAGGATGATAAATCTGTAAAAAAACAACAACATGCCCATAAAAAACTATGCATAATATCTGTCTTGATGGCATCAATCAGAAATAATGTTGTTAGTTTGGTATATGAACATATTTTTTGAAAAAGTGATGCTTTTTTGGGGGGCCCAATTTACCTTAACCCCTTGAGGTAAAATGGGCCACATGGTTTCAGCTAAAATGGGCCATCATTTGTGTCACTCACAAACACACATACACATGTGTTTGAGTGTGTGTGAGTGAGTTTGTGTGTAAGGGTGTGTGTTTGTGTTTGTATGTGTATGTACGTGCATACACACACACACACACACACACACACACACACACTCACACCATGACCCCCCCCAACAGTAATAATGGTAGTATTTTATTTACAGTGAGTATGGCAAACGAGAAGGAAGCGAGAGGAGAGGAGAGAGGGAGAAGGAAAGAGAGAGGAAGTGAGAGGAGAAGGAAGGATGAGAGAGGAGACAAGCAGAGGAGACAGGAAGTGAGAGAACAGGTGAGGAGAAAGGAATGCAGAGGAAATGAGAGGAGACAGAACGAGAGAAAAGAGAGGAGGAGCAAGGACCAGAGAGGAAAGGATACAAAGATAAAACAGGGAGGGAAAGGAAGGCCAAACAACTACAATCTGTGGAAAGAGGAGAGGATGAAGGGTGCCTTAGATGAATACAGGGAGGGAGTGAAGAAAGGAATTACAGTGAGTGTGCACTTCTTATCACGAGCATGGGGTGTGCCGCGATCCACACTGCAAAGACGCATCAGCGGAAAGGTGACTGGCAGTGAACATGTGTCAGGGCGGAAGCCCTACCTTCCAGAGGAGGCGGAAAGGGAGCTTGCTGCCACCCTCAAGACATTGGCGCAGAGGGGGTTTCCCTTCACAAAGCGTGATGTCCAGCAAGTGGCCTTTGATTTTGCAGCCAACAACGACATATCTGGTTTCTCCCTGACAGCAGGAAGGGCCGGATATTACTGGTTTCAGAACTTTCTAAAGCGAAACCCAGAGCTTGGGATGCGCAAGCCAGAGGTCCTGTCTGCAGCACGGGCTGCTGGACTTAACAAAGAGGTGGTTAGCCAGTGGTTTAACCAGTATGAGAACCTTTTGGTCGAGCTGGGTATTGAGGGCACACCGTCACATATATGGAACTGTGACGAGTCTGGGCTTCAGGACCAGTTCAGTTCGACAAAGGTTGTTGGACAGGTTGGCCAGCCATGTGTGGAGGTGTGTGCCGGAGAGAAGGGGGAGACAACAACTTGTCTGGCAGCGTTCAATGCAGAAGGTACATACAGTCGAACAATAATTATTTTTAAGGGGAAGCGTGTTCGTTCTGAGTGGCTACAGGGATGCCCGGAGAACACCAGCGTAAGGTGTTCAGACAATGGCTGGATTACCTCTGACCTCTTTCTGGAATGGGGTCAAATGTTCATTCAGTCCCTCCCCAGGGATGACCCCAGGCCCCATCTTCTCCTCCTTGACGGCCACAGTAGCCACGTCTATAATCTGGAATTTATTAAGCTACTGAAAAGCAAGAATGTGCACATCATGTGCTACCCTCCCCACACAACCCATGCGCTGCAACCGGCGGACAAGGCCCTCTTCAAGAGTCTAAAGCACCACTGGGACCAGGAAGGGAGGAAGTGGACAAGGATGATGGCTGGGCAGAAGCTGTCAAGGATGGAGTTCTTTGCGGTGTTCAGCAGGGCCATCAGAAAGAGAGTGAAGCCACCATCGTATAACCTAACAAGTGAGCAACACATTGAATATATTCAAACAAAAAAATCATCCAGCAAGCATCCAGCCAAGCAAGCCAGCTGGTACCCGGGCAGCAAGCAACCGAAAGGGAAAAAAAAGCAGGGCAAGAGAAGCAAATCACCTTGCAAAGTCTGCAACACCCACTATGGTGACCCAAATGACCCTAAGGCTACTGAGGAATGGTTAAAATGTGTTCCATGTTCTGCCTGGTTTCATGAGAGCTGTGGTGAAGACAATGGTATCTGTGCTGACGATGGTTTCATTTGCAAAGACTGTGTTTGAAAAGTTTTCACACAAACATATCAGTTAATAATTTGGAATGTGAATTTTTGTATTTTTGTGAATGCACATTTTGTTCTAAATGTGTTGTTCACACACACACACACACACACACACACACACACACACACACACACACACACACCACTGACAGTTCACTGATCTATGCTGTTCCAAAATGGATTTTTTTAATTGCACATTTGAATATGTGGGTTTGCACCCAAAATGTTTTTTGAATGGCACATATGAATTTTTGTTTAATGCAGTTTAAATGTTATGTGGCTGTATAAGCAACTGTGTTTTAAAATTAAAATTGATGATAAATGACTATTTCCCTTTGGAGTTTGACTGGCCCATTTTACCTGAAGCTGTGGCCCATTTTACCTGAAACTGCTCATGCAACAAATGTTGGCAGAGCTGATGTTTCAAGAACTGTAGGGCCTAAATAATTATATTTTATTAAATAATTTCAACACAAAATTATCAAAAACAGTCATTATTAATCATAAAAACACATGGAAAAGGCATATATGGTATTGTATTATTGTCCCAAACGATTTACCAAAAAGTGGCCCAATTTAGCTGATGTCACCCCACATAAAAATAAAAGCGGTACATTATGAGAATTATGATGAATTAGGTGTCAGTTTACAATTACCTTTTCTCCATCTCTGTGGTCAATATAGATGAAACAGGTGTCAGTACCAAGTACCAAATATCTTGCGATAAATACCTTGCAGAGATGGGCACTGATATTATTGTGTTTCCTATGCACAGAGGTGTCATGCCCATATGGCCACAGTGGCACATGCCCCCTCAGATTTATCCTGTATAAAAAATTTAAAATAAAAACAAATGTCTCCATAAGTTCTGTTTTGTTAAAAAAAATGTTTCTGTAATATATGGAACATTGAAGGGACACACAAAAAATATATATATTATTTTGCATTGTCTCACTGAGCGAACTAACATCACAACCAAGAGAACATAGATTAACAGCCTTAGGTAAGTGTCCTTTTTGTCTTGTAATTTCACATTTGGAAGGTGCATTGAAACAATTAGCATGATTATATCATTTTTAGCACAGCCAACTATCTAGCTAGCTAGCAAGCAATATGAATGATGAACTGAAATGAGCTACTCTCGAGGGGATCACTATGGTAGCTAGCTATGGATAGCGATGACTTGATAATGATGGCAAAATTGTTTCCTACCAAACATTTGCCTACTTTAGCAATGTCATCATATGTCCATGCCCCTATAGTGTAATTTAAATGAAACAGTCATTAGCATCCGGCTATCACGACCTTTGGGCACCACTATGTTGCCGCTGGCAGAGGGCGTCTTGAGAACGTTCATAACAATGGCATGACGCGACCCAGTGACGGAAGTGCAACCTACGAATAGCAACATTTGTTTTGCATTTGTCTATTTTGCCCAGCTCTCAAACTGTGTGTTGTGTGTCTGTCTGTCTGCCAATCGCCAGCCTGTCTGTCGGTAGGAGTTCCAGATGTGGCTGGAGGAGTGGTGGTGGCCATTGGAGGGCAACTCTACTGGAGCACATGTAGGAGCTCATCGTCATGGAGTTAATCTATAACCGCTGATACAAGTAGATATCCCATATTAGGTAATATGACTGCGCTAGCTAGCTGGTTGGTACATATAGATTTACAGTACTAATTAATATTTCATTAATGTACAGGGTTCAATTTGACCCAAGAGAACAATCCAGACTAAGAATTTGCAAAAGGAGTGGAGGCTGGTGGGGTGAGCTATAGGAGGACGGGCTCATTGTAATGCTGAAATTGAATTAATGGTACGGAGTGGTTTCCATATGTTTGATACCGTTCCATTTATTCCATTCCAGCCATTACAATGAGGCCGTCCTCCTATACCTCCTCCCACCAGCCACCACTGTGCAAAAGGTAAGCTCATAATGAATACTATTATATGGAGAGAGTGGACCTGATCCTAGATCAGCACTCCTACTCTGATGGCAAATTCTCTCTCTCTCTCGCATCCTTTCAATAACTTCAGATTGACCCCCTGGTCTATGATTAGTAGATGTGGGTGAGTGGACATACAGATATGGGACTAGCCTAGCCACAGATGCTCTTCTCAACTATTGGCAAGGAGTAATTTGACATCCAATCACCATGAAATATGCTTTATTCTGCATTCAACACTTCTATTGCAGGAGAGGTGAGCACCTATCAGATCCTCTACTGTCCTTCACCCCTTGGTGCAGTCTGCTGACCATCGCTGGGGCCAGGAAAAAGTCTGTCAATCAAAGTAGGAGCCAAGTTCATCACCATGCAACACTCTACTGACCGAGGTAAACTATGCTTTGTGTAGCAACTGACTGACTAACAGTCAGGCAGGCAGAGAAACACACACACTCAAATTTGACTTGACCTTATATTGAAAGCACTTTACTCACAGATACCCCCCTCTGTCATTCATCTCCCTCTATCTCCACCCTAGGTTCCAGGTGATCTCCCATCTTCTTCATAGTGGCCTCAGCTGGACTCCACTGCATAACCTCTTGGTCAGCTGGACCCCACCCCATAACCTCTAGCCAGGTGAATCAAGAGCTTCACCAGAGACGGAAGTGGATGCGAGACATCCCGGCGTTCCTACGTCACTGCCTTATCAGCTTGTTTCCCTACTCCAGTACACTATCAGTACACATTTTTATTGTAGCCCCAGACAAGCACACCTGATTCAACTTGTCAGCTAATCATCAAGCCCTCAATGAGTTGAATGAGGTGTGTTTGTCCAGGGCTACAACGCAAATGTGTACCGTTGGGGGTACTGGAGGACCGGAGTTGGTAAACACTGCCCTAGCACAATGAGGGAGTTCTATTAACCTGAGCCACGATGCACCGGTCTATGACCCGTGACGTGAAAGGGCAAAAGCGGTGAGGCAGGAGCACCCTTCTCAAATCTAACAGTAATTTGCGCCACTCGGTCATGTTGTCGACAAGGCAGCATGGTGCATCGTCCAGAATAAAAAAATTATCCATAAAATATATGTTCTAATTTTCAAAGTAGTTGTTTTCATTGTGAAGGCAAAATAATGCGTTTTTATCTAAATAAATTACTTTCACATGTGAAAACATGGAGTCCTACTCATTACTCCATATGCTTAGTCTAGCCTAGGTCACTTTTGTTTTGAGCAGACTTTGCCGTGGGCTTTGAAAGGGGCACCCGGCTCACGCTCAGGTGGTGGTTACAAAACAAATGCAATCACTTTTCACCCGCTGCAAACACCTCCCACTGGGGTAACCCAGGCCAATAATCGAATCCCCTCAATTCCTGCTCACATTTTAAGCCCCACCCACCCAAAATTGTGATCTGTTGGGAAAGTTGTCTGTCTGAACAATTTCTTGTTCCCCTTTCTGAAGTTACCAAGAGTCCGTCAATAATCAAAGACCTAGTCACTGCTGTTGCCTAGGTCTGGGTTTCCGAGACTATCCGGATGGTGGCTTGCACTCTACTCAATCAATACTTTAAATAGATTGAACTACAAAGCAATAAGTTAATTTACATTTCATAATCATAACGAATACCTTAGCGAAGCCACAATCACACAGAGCATGTATGCAAGGCAAACTATGTTAGGATGGACGACTATGAGCTAGCTCCAACCATAGCTCCACAGCGCAGACATTTGCAGTTTGGACCGACAACTTGATTCTTGGACCCAAGTGCCATGGACACGCACCTGCTCCCCGCACTGCCCTACCAAAGGTGCTCAACCCCAAACACAGGTGGACTGACTACGGGTTACAAAGAGGCAGAGGGCGTGAACTGCAAGGAGAGAGAGAGACCGTAGTTAAAGGGATCTTTCAGGATTTTGGCAATGTGGCCCTTTATCTACTTTCCCAGAGACAGATGAACTCAACTGTTATAGATTAACTAAATGTTCAAATAATCCAGCATGTAACAATAAGGCAATTCTCTTTTATTTTCAATATATTACATTAATTTACTTCAAAAGTGACAGTAGGTTTACTGGAATTGAGGCTGTGCAGAGACCACAGACAGTGGTAGCCTCCTGGAACATAACAGGCTGCATAGGAACGTGTTCATGACTCAGCCTCTTGGTCGGCTACAAATCAACCTTTCCAGGGAACCATGGCAGCTTTGCAGTTGATTTCACTCAATTTTTTTGACTAAAAATCCTCTAAAAGGAAGAAAGACCATGCTGATTTCTTCTTTGATGAATCAATTTAGTCCAATATAATGTAGGCCTAGTCCATTTCTATGTAATCCATTACAAAGTGCAGAAACCATGTATGAAAAAAAAAATCACAAAAAATAATTCTCAACATTTCCTTCTCCCTCTTGACTTCCTTTTCCGGGAATCGCCTAGGGAGAGGACAGACTAAAATTAATAGATTGAAGGAATCAAATTACATACCAATGACTTCTAAAATAGTATGCCGTTAATATCCCAACGTTTGTAGTTATATTGCATTTGATGGATCAGAAAGAGGCTTGGCAGGGGAGAATGGGCTTTTATTGTTTCTGATGAATAGGATTATTTTGGAAATGAAATGGCATATACTGCTACTGGTTGCATCAGTCTCTAGGTCATTAAAGCACTGAATTAATTTAAATCAAACATCTTTCAGCAAAGACAAACTTACAAAAGGACACAGTTTACAGGAAGCACAAAAAAAGCCATTGTGTATATAGGTTAAATAATCAATTTAGCTGTTTAGGTTGTTGTGAGGTTGGGTAGTTCAGCAACATAGGGGTACGGCGGCACAGGAAACACAAAGGCAGAAAAACTCTACACAGAACAGAAGCGCTAAGCAAGGTCTTCCCGGTGAGGTATGACATTTAAGTGTACTTGGATATAAATTATATAATAATATTCAACTGTGGCGCTTATGAGATGTTAGTTTGAGCTTAAGTATGTCTTATCAAGATCAATCTCCTAAGATTCAGGCTGATAAAAGGGCATAAAGTAGCAGCCAAGATGCCGGACACAGACAAAGTGGTTTATCTTGAGTTATGATTACAATTTGATTACCAGGGATTTGACAGATGTTTACTGAAGAGGACAGAGAGTGTTAAATGCAGGACAAGACACAATCAGATTAAACCAGATCCCGGTTAGACCGACACGTCTTAATTGAAATCATGGCTTGGTGCTGATGGGATGATTAAAATGTCCCCGCTTGCACCAGTTAGTTTTTCATCCAGTCGTTTGACCTACCTCACTGCAACACACACCCCTTTTTACATTTAGGGTGTCCCTTTCCAGTGTTACCTTGTGTTTTAGAGAGTCACAGAAAAAAGACAACACAAAAAACAAAAACAAACTACTTGATGATCATGAAAGGACTCAATGTGATGTAAATGGTAGGCTTTTAAGATCAGTTTCCAAAAAATAGTACATTCATGCTAAAAGTTAAGTTCACAGCTAAAAACAGCACCAAATGATCAGACACTATATAAAATGTATGATGTAAAATGCAATAAAACCACCTAAAAAAAAGGGGAAAAATCTCCCTTTCATACATTTCAGGAGACCACAGTTCCAAACATGATCTTTATTAGAGTTAATGAATACATTACCTTCATTACCCTTCTTTTTGTTTCTTCTAAAGAGCGTCTGCTGTATTTTATCCTCTGGTGTTAGGGGTCCCGACTCAAAAGAAGGCAGAGTTTCAGATACCGATGAGAGCAGATCTTTAGATTCCACTCCATCGTGCACATCGTAAGCCAGTACGCTTTGCGCCGCACTTACCAAACGCTTGTTGCCATTGGCTTCTGTGTTGCCATTGGCGTCTCGGTGTCCGTTAGTTACACCCTCATCCTGTGCCACCATCTTCACCGTCATGTCATCCCCAGTCTCATCTGGTCCAACAGTCTTTACCATCATGCTGCTGCTCTCACCTTCAACGTCATCTTGGCCAATGGTTTTTCCTATCAGCTTGCTCTCTATAATCATGTCCATATCAGTGACAGCCAGTGTGCAGGCTCCATTAAGGTGACTCTCTCCATTGTTCTGTGGGCACTCAGGCATCAAGTCCTCCGTTACCAGGCCATTGTTTTCATTCTGGTTGATTTCAACCAGGTCTGTGAAGGTAGAGGGGCTTGGGGTGTTATTTAGGACATCCGTTCCCAGTATCTCCAGAGTTAGCGAGTTAGTCTGTGACCAAGCTGTTTCTTTGGGGTGTTTTTCTTGGGGTTTGCTGGGGCATCCGTTCACGCCTCCTCTTGGTACCCTCTCCTCTGCCTGGGATTGGGTGGGATTGAGAGTGCTGGAGGCTTCTGAGACAGAGGCTACCACTTCTTCTTTTACAGGCTTGACACTTGATCCTGCAGGGGAGAGAGAGGTTATGTTAATGCTTGAAGAGAGATAGGAAGAGCAGGTCTACTGTGCCAGGCATTCCAACATTCTTAATTAAGCAGGCAACGTTTGAATCTGGAAAGTGCTGTTTAAGAAAAGATACAACCAAGCACACATTATTGATGAAATTAAGCAAGTGTAATAGGTAGTGGCTGCACAAAAGCACAGAGACAATGATTTAAAAAGTCATAGTCAATCAATCAATAATACACTTAGCAAAGATGTTTCTTTAATTTTCAATCTGTAGAAACTATGAGAATAGAAAGGTTCAGAACTTTTGTGAAACATCACAGCACAGTTGAAAAATATATGGCAAATATTAATCAAAACTGGATGGTGTTCAGAGATGGATGGGAGGGGTTGAGGGTAGCTGAAGGATGGGACTAAAAACAAACAAAAGAACCATTGTAAAATATACTGTTTGTAAAAATTAGTATGTATAAGCTGGAAGTAGAAGCCTAAGTGTTGTTGTCCATTAGTTTACTCTAATTAGGGAGGGGTGGTAGGGTTAGGGGAAAATATAAAATATATGGGGGATTGGAAATGATGCAGACAATTACATTGATAGAAGCCACAATCCATCTGCAATATTAAAGCTGATCTACCCCCTAATATATATATATATATATTATTTTTTTAAAGCACAGAGACGAGTCGGCGAAGCATGGTTATGGTTCAATGCAGGAGAGCAGGAGTGAAGCTGGAGACAGGACAGGGTCAGAGTCGTCTTGTCCTTACCGGGCTGGCCCGTATCCCTATTCATTTCACTAGAGAGGGGGCTATCCGTTTCGCACCTGGGCCGCATCTTCCTGAGATGAAAGCCTTTCCGGATATCAGCAAGGAGGTGGTCGATAATACAGCCATCGTCCTGTGGCGGGGGTCCTTTCCGGACTAGTGACAGAGGATAGAGAAAGAGATGTATTAAGATACCACATGGCAGGCTACTCTATCATCTTAGTGTGAATACAAAACATAGACTCTTTTGACAGACACCAGAGGAGATATGGGCCATCAGAAGAACTCACTTATTTTTCCGTTCTCCCCCTTCTGTCTCTTGGATTCCTCCTCCTCAAGCTGCTTCTTCCTTTTCTCCGCCTTCACAGCCTGCTCTTTTCTGGTCTTGTTTTCCTGTGGAAGTACATAGAACATTGGGAAAGAGGATATGAGGCGACTTTATAACAAAACCTCAGGCTTCAATGTACTAGTGATGGAAATCAGTATGCATTACTAGCAGTTAACCAAACTCGTCTATTTGTGATGTGCTCCTCTGACCTTTAAGGCTTTGAGGAAAAGCCCCCTGAAGGTCTTGATGGTGCTGAAGAGCTCTTCCAGGGAGAGTTGGTTTGCATCCTCACACAGGTAGAGGGCAAGGTCACCCTTCTTCCTCACAATCTCTGCAAAACGCTCTTCCAAATCCAGGCAGGCCTCCAGGTTTTCCTTGGGGAGGGAACAAGCAGTTGAACCATTTCCTTTTAAAGAACACTAGTGTATAGTTGACCTCTTCCAAAAGAGTAACACAAAATGTCAATATTGGGAGGCAACCACAATAGAATACAATTCACTGGTTTCATACCTCAATGGCCTTTGTGAACTGCTCCTTTACATCGTCCAAAGAGTTGGAGACCTTCTTTGCCACTTCTTTCAGTCGTTTGAGTAAGGCACTGGCCTCTGCCTGAATGGAGTCAAGGTTGACTCTGATGGATAAAAGCAAATATTTACATGTAATTTAATCATTTATTTATCAATTGTAGAGCTCATAATAACAATTGTTTGAATAAAATGATTTTATACCCAGCTGCCTTTTCACAAATCTCAATGTCGTCAGGAAGGTTCAACAGCTCTGGGTGGTTCAGCTCTGCCTCCTGTAAACAAGTCCGGAGTTTATTTATGATGTCCAACTTTGATTTGTCCATGTGAAGTCTATTTGGTTTATGTGAGGAGCACTGACCACACAGTTGTTTTTATCCTCAGAAAAGCACAAAAGTAAAGCGCTATTATTTATAATAGTGGTACCTCCAGAATGTGATGGAGCAGGGTAATGCGGCTCTTGTTAGCCTTAGTCTCCGTCAGTTTCAGCAGAGAGCTGATCTTAAAGCCCTCAGCGTTCCCTGTTTGACTTCCCTGTGAGCAAGAAGAGAGTCAGGAGTTAGAGCTCTTCAGATTGCATAAGTGTTGCATGTTTATGGGTGAGTGGAATGCCATCCTTCATCAGTGGGGTTTAACGGCGGTTGGCATCCAATATTAATGGTACATTACCGCCACCAAGTAGACTGGAGTATAAATCCATTATGCTTTGTGATACAAAAAGTAGCCTGCCAACTAACCCTACATTCATTAAAAACCCACCACCCCATTCCACTATTTTGACCGACGGTCTGGGAGGACGGGACACCACCATTCAACACACCCTGTAACTCTTCTACAGTAAAATCTCGTAAACCCAAGTACTTCTCTGCAGCTGCCACCACAACACCTATTTTCTGTGATTTACGTTCCTTTTCTGCGTTACAGTTGATAACCATGGCAATGAACACTAAAAAGCCAACCTTGCTGAAGCACATTTAATTCGTAGGCCTATCACGCTGTACTGGCAAAAGTCTACTACGCACTGGGAGCCTCTTATGATCCCTCAACATTGACCCATCTTCCTCTACTTTCTTCACTGCCTCAGGATACGACACCTTCAGTACAACTCCGACTGACAACCTCAACCTGTCTCTCTCACATCGGACACTTCTGATCCTCAGCAACATGGGCACCTCTACAGTTAACACATACCGTTTTTTTCACCAATATTACACATTCCTTTGTCCCATGACCTCCTGCACACTTCTCACATCTAGGAATCTCCATACCTACTGCAACATGACCATAGGCTTGGCACCTGAAACACTAGTGGGTTCGGCACAAAAGCTCTTAGAGGATAACTGATATATCCTAACATCACTTTGTCAGGTAGGAATGCCATCCTTTGGAGAGTCCTTACTTACATAGTTGAGGAAGTTTCCCACATCAAGGATGAGCCTGCAGAAACTAGGCATGAGAGTGCTCATTCTGAGACCTGAGGAGAACATATTTAAAAATGAAACATTCTATGCAACAACAAAAAAAAGATACTTTAAGACATTTTGAAAAACCAACACGAGTAGATAAAACATTTCCAGCACAAAGCAACAATTTGTTCTACACAGAACAGTATATAATAGTTACCAATCTTGATAGTTCGAACAAACAACATTGTTCAAAATAAACCTTACTGTGTCCTCTGCTAGCTTACAAAAATATGTAATGGATTCATAAGGCAATCATTGTAACATGACTGTTTATCAGTGGTGTAAAGTACTTAAGTAAAAATACTTTTTTGGGTAATCTGTATTTTACTTTACTATTTATATTTTTGTCAACTTTTACTTCACTACATTCCTAAAGAAAATAATGTACTTTTTACTCCATACATTTTGCAGGACAGAAAAAAAATGGTCCAGTTCACGCACTTATCATCCCTACTGCCTCTGATCTGGCGGACTCACTAAACACACGTTTCGTTTGTTAATTATGTCTGAGTGTTGGAGTGTGCCCCTGGCTATCCGTAAATTTAAAAAACAAGAAAATGGTGCCGTCTGGTTTGCTAAATATAAGGGATTTTAAATTATTTATATACTTTTACTATTGATACTTAAGTATATTTTAGCAATTAGATTTACTTTTGATACTTAAGTATATTTAAAACCAAATACTTTTACTCAAGTAGTATTTTACTGGGTGACTTTCACATGAGTCATTTTCTATTAAGGTATCTTTACTTTTACTCAAGTATGACAATTGGGTACTTTTTCCACCACTGGTGTTTATACAGGAAAGTTGGTGTTGACTTACACTGGCATGCTGCTTCAACCACCTCTGCTTTGGGCTTGAGCATGTCCAGTACTGAGGTGGTCTCCTCACACAGCAACATACAGTCTATCCTCAGCTGGTAACTGTGGGGAGACACGAGAGCGAGAGAGAGGATACGAAGTAGGGATGGTATGGGAGGGAAGAGAGATACCATAGAGAATTAAGACAGACAAGTCAAGGAAGTACCAAACAAAAACAGACACCAGATTCCGTTAACTATCACAGCCAGAGATTCTTCTCTACAGACAGTATCCTGTGAGGTGCCAGGAATGAGAAAAGGAACAGCAGTTACCATGGTACAGCCAGGAGAGAGATGTAGAATCGGTCTACATTGGCCAACTTTTCTTTTTCTCCCAGGAAGGATTTCAGGTTTTCTATCTAAATTGAGACAGAAAAGGGAGGCTTTTGAGTCAGACCACCATGTTTGATGTATTAATAAAGGTGATTTGCAAACACTGTGAAAGTGTATCTTGTACCTACCTCATGTTTCTCAGGTAAGAGTTTAATAAGCTGCTTCAAGACCTCAACATCGAACTTAGAGCGATCCCCACTCTGAATCAACGCCACAAACTCATCACGTGAGCTAGATATAGGAGCAGGGAGAAAAAAGTAAGCTCAATGGGGAACAAACATTGAAATCAATACCGACTTAAAATGATAAATTACATTACCATTTGAATTGCTTGAGAAATATGTTCAAATTCAAGTTCTTCTTTGCGTCAATAAAGGAGATCTGTAGAGAGAAGAGGGGAATAAATATATTTTTTAGGGAGATTATTTTACGATTCATAATGAGCCATGTTTTTGGTGTGCTCCAGATATGAGAGCTGTAGTGAGTGTTGACCAGTGCACCTCTTTAGGCTCATTCTTCACAGGAGCAGCTGCCCCCTGGTCTTTGTGTTCGGTCACTGGGAGACAGAACAGCTGTTCGATGCTGGAGTAGTTGGGCTCCAGAGGAGCGTCTTTCTGAGCTGAAGTCCATATGGAATGACCATCTGTGTGTATGTGAAAGGAGGGGGAGAATAACCACAACACATCTGGAATGACCTCACTAAATTATCCTCTATACTGTACAATCAGACAATCTTTCCCCCTCCTAAATAGAGCAGCCTGCCTCTGTAGACACAGGGGAGGTTCATTAAAGAGAGATGCCAAGGTTTTTTAAATATATAATATATGCCATTTAGCAGACGCTTTTATCCAAAGCGACTTACAGTCGTGCGTGCATACATTTTTGTGTATGGGTGGTCCCGGGGATTGAACCCACTACCTTGGCGTTACAAGCGCCGTGCTCTACCAGCTGAGCTACAGAGGACCACTTTCTACTCACCAGTGACAGCTCTGAGTTTCTGCCAGTTGAGCTTCTTCATCCTCAGGGTGGGGCAACGGCCTGCCTTGGAGGCAGCAGCAGGGGCACACCCCAGGGACTGGCTACTCTGGGCCACCACAATGCCACCCATTCCAGGGGGAGGAGGTGGTGGAGGAGGAGGCAGCAGGCCTGGCAAGGGTGGGGGGGGTGGAGGTCCTCCACCGCCCGTTCCTGGTGGGGGAGGTGGGGGTGGAGGAGGGGGAGGGCACCCTGGGGGCACCCCCATCCCTGGTAGAGGAGGTGGGGGTGGGGGTACTCCACCTCCAATGTGTTGGAGTGGTGGAGGAGGGGGAGGTGGGCACTGACGGGGACCTTGTTCCATCATATTGGGAGATAGGGAAGGTGGAGGGTGTGGTGGAGGAGAGGACACTTGGGAGATTGTGGAGCATTTGGTCAGTCTTTCTTGGTCATCGTCCACCATATCGGTCTGAACAGCCTTATCAATCTTCTTGGGTGGCAGACCATCCACAGCATCGACACCAGCCTTCTTGCGCTTGGAGAACACCAGGCGTTGCATAATCATCTCACAGGAGTCCATATGATCTGGAGCACAGAATCATACACAAACACTGAAATCTACTGAATTTTGTTGACATGTAACCAAACCAAACATTTTTCCTACACACTCTACGTTCACCCAGACTCCAGTCCTTTGCCAATAACTCTCTTAGGGGACAGCTTATTGAACTATTGAATGTGTCAGGAGCATGAGGACTTACAGTCCTGATCCAGCAGTATGGCCCTGTTAGTGAGGGCCTCCAGGGCTTGCCAGATGTCAGCCCTGTCGGGCCCCAGCAGCAGCAGGGCTTGTAGGATGGACAGCAGCTGGAGGGACGACGGAGAGCTGCTCACCTTGAGGTTGAACAACACACAACCAAACCTTATTTAGAGTGCACTTGTAATTCAGTTGTTTATGTAACTAGCCATGAGAAGGCGACATGCAGTGCAGCGGACAGCTGTGCTCACTTTGTTGAAGAGGGTGATGAACACCTCCTGGTGACTGCTCATGTCTATGCCTCCATAGACCCTCAGCAGCTCCTCCTCATCCTCATACATGGCCTCTTCAAACACCTCACACTGAATGATCAAGTCCTCATCCTCCTCATCTCTGAAAGTCACACACACACAAACAAACAATTCAAAAGGGCATATTGAGCAAGTAGCCTGTTTACATGTTTATTTCCCACTTGCACATCAAATCAACAAAATAATTGACAAATGTGCAGGTAACAAAAGTTGTTTAACATTTCACTCAAATTATATTGTGCTTGACCAATGCATGGGCATTTCATATCTGCACATGACAAAAACATCACAATGAAACAAGGAAGTAAATCAAGGCACTCACCTCAATTTGGGCAGTATATCAAGTAATTGTAATCCTATAAAACAGAAAAACTGCATTTAATAAAGACAGTCACAAAAACAATGATCCAACTCCCAATTGATCAGTTTCCTACTTTGGATTTGGCTATTAAAAAGTTGGAACACAGCGGAATTTGAACTGGAATTTGCATGATGGGAATCAGCGAGTGATGTCGATTGCAGGTGAGCGATTAGGATATAATTATGGTGCGTTCAAGACAACTCGGAACTCGGAAATCTTCGAACTCAGACTTCAGTGCGTTCAAGACAACTCGGAACTCGAGTTGGATGACCAGCGTTCAAAACTATTTTTCTCAGTCGGAGCTCGTTTTTTCCAACGCACTAAAGTTGAAAGTCTGATATTTCCGAGTTCCCAGTTGTTTTGAGCGTGGCATACAAGTCGAAAACTCAGGCATCATATTAGAGCTCTGACTTCTGCTGCGTTCGTAACCAAGTGGAAGGTGGGAATTGACCAGTTGTGAAGTCGTATATACCAGTTGGATGCAATCACATGGTTTGAATTCGTTGAGAAATACTGATTGGCTAATGGCCAACAAGCTGTGTAAACCATAAACTAAAAGTACAGCTATCATGCTAGTAAACAAATTATAGTGTTCAAAAATCATATTTATAAATAATGTTTTGTTGCTGCATTTAACTGCCAGAAATGCTGTTATTGAGGTAATTTCCTAATTAGGTGACGTCAGAGGTCAGCATCTGAGAGAAGTAGGAACTCAGGATGATAGACGAATTTCCCACTAGTAATTACCAGTTGGAGGGCCGTTCAAAGGATTTTCCCCCAGTTGTTTGTGGTAAATTCTCACTTCCTACTTGGTTATTAATGCAGCATTCTCTTACCTGAAGATCAATGACTTCTCCATTTTTCTCAGTCTGAGCTTGCTTTTTTCGAGTTCCCAGTTGTTTTGAACGCACCAAAAATCTATTCGCAGTAGAGCGGGGATGTGGAACGACTTCGAATAGGCTACATTTAAATTTTTTGAATAAATAAAAAATGCATTACACATTTACCGTGAATGGCCAATTCTCAAAGGAAGGGAATGGCGACTTGACTTCAGACGAGCTTCTGTTAGACTGCCGCCAATAGGCCATCATAAAAATGTAGGCATAAATCAAAGCCTGTTCCTAGCCCAATATAATGGTGCTTTCAAGACAACTGGGAACTCGAAAAAAAGGTTAAATCATGACGTCAGTGATCTTTAGGTTGGCGCTCTAGAAAAATAACTGAGTTTCTGTCATGGAATTTCGAGTTGGATGACCATTCAAAACGATTTTTCCCAGTCGGAGCTAGTTTTTTTCCCTGAGTTCCCAGTTGTCTTGAACGCACTGAAGTCAGAAGTCTGAGATTTCCAAGTTCTTAGTGGTGAGTTCTGAGTTGTTTTGAACGCGGCATTAGACCACTATGGCATGCTCTAAGACTTCTTCTTATTAATCAAATAAATAATCAGAGGTCTAATATTGGGATAGACAATACTGTAACCTGTCAAGAACCATAATATTATGCATAGCATATATGACAGACTAGAGTTTATCAAGTTTTGATAGGTCTACTATGCCCATATTTCTTCAACAAATTCAACACACGAATCTACAGCATAGATAGGCCTAATCTTGATTTCCCCTTCATTAAAACACCGATTTTTCAAAAACAAAAGAATATTCAGGTAACACCATCTATGTCGGTCAGAAACAAATACTTTTATCCCTGAATATGAGGTTTGCACAAGATTCAGGTGTTTGGGGACAATGCATATACAATAGCTAGAAGGACCCAGTGACATACACTTCATGACCAAAAGTAATGAACATCTCATTCCAAAATCATGGGCATTAATATGGAGTTGGTCCCCCCTTTGCTGCTATAACAGCCTCCACTCTTCTGGGAAGGCTTTCCACTAGATGTTGGAACATTGCTGTGGGGACTTGCTTTCATTCAGCCACAAGAACATTAGTGAGGTCGGGTAATGATGTTGGGTGATTAGGCCTGGCTCACAGTCGGCGTTCCAATTAATCCCAAAGGTGTTCGATGGGGTTGAGGTCAGGGCTCTGTGCAGGCCAGTCAAGTTCTTCCACACCAATCTCGACAAGCCAGTTCTGTATGGACCTTGCTTTGTGCACGGGGGCGGAAACAGGAAAGGGTCGTCCCCAAACTGTTGCCACAAAGTTGGAAGCACAGAATCATCTATAATGTCACTGTATGCTGTAGCGTTCAGATTTCCCTTCACTGGAACTAAGGGGCCTAGCCCGAAACCATGAAAAAAAGCCCTAGACCATTATTCCTCCTCCACCAAACTTTACAGTTTGCACTATGCATTCGGAAGGTAGCGATCTCCTGGCATCCGCCAAACCCAGATTCATCTGTCAGACTGCTAGATGGTGAAGCGTGATTCATCACTCCAGAGAACGCGTTTCCACTGCTCCAGAGTCCAATGGCGACGAGCTTTACACCACTCCAGCCGACGCTTGGCATTGTGCATGGTGATCTTAGGCTTGTGTGCGGCTGCTCGGCCATGGAAACCCATTTTATGAAGCTCCCGACTAACAGTTCTTGTACTGACGTTGCTTCCAGACGCAGCTCTAGCAGGGCAGAAATTTGACGAACTGACCTGTTGGAAAGGTGGCATCCTATGACAGTGCCATGTTGAAAGTCACTGAGCTCTTCAGTAAGGCCATTCTACTGCCAATGCGTGTCTATGGAGATCGCATGGCTGTGTGCTAGATTTTATACACCTGTCAGCAACGGGTGTGGCTGAAATAGCCGAATCCACTAATTTGAAGGGGTGTCAACATACATTTGTTCATATAGTGTAGATTTGTAATGGAACTGTTGCCAAATGGCCTATTTTCCCTGCATTCCCATTCCCCTGGTGTTTCTCCACAGGGGAAACTATACTGAACACAAATATAAACGTAACATGTAAAGTGTCGGTCCCATGTTTCATGAGCTGAAATAAAAGATTCCAGAAATGTTCCATACGCACAAAAAGCGCATTTCTCTCAAATTTTGTGAACAAATTTGTTTACATCCCTGTTAGTGAGCATTTCGCCTTTGCCAAGATAATCCATCCACCTGACAGGTGTGTCATATCAAGAAGTTTATTAAACAGCATGGTCATTACACAGGTGCACCTTGTGCTGGGGACAATAAAAGGCCACTCTAAAATGTGCAGTTTTGTCACACAACACAATGCCACAGATGTGTCAAGTTTTGAGGGAGTGTGCAATTGGCATGCTGACTGCAGGAATGTCCACCAGAACTGTTGCCAGATAATTGAATGTTCATTTCTCTACCATAAGCCGCCTCCAACGTTGTTTTAGAGAGTTTGCCAGTATGTCCAACCGGCCTCACAACTGCAGACCATGTGTAACCACGCCAGCCCAGGACCTCCACATCTGGCTTCTTCACCTGGGGGATCATCTGAGATCAGCCACCCGGACAGCTGATGAAACTGTGGGTTTGCACAACCGAAGAATTGTGCAATCCGTCGTAACCGACTTCAGTGGGCAAATGTTCACCTTTGATGGCCACTGGCATGCTGGAGAAGTGTGCTCTTCACAGATGAATCCCGGTTTCAACTGTACCAGGCAGATAACAGACAGCGTGTATAGCGTTGTGCGGGAAAGCGTTTTGGTGATGTCAATGTTGTGAACAGAGTGCCAAATGGTGGCGGTGGGTTTATAGTATGGGCAGGTATATGCTAGGGACAATGAACACAACTGCATTTTATCGATGGCAATTTGAATGCACAGAGATACCGTGATGAGATCCTGAGGCCCATTGTCGTGCCATTCATCCACCGCCATCACCTCATGTTTCAGCATGATAATGCATGGCCCCATGTCGCAAGGATCTGTACACAATTCCTGGAAGCTGAAAATGTCCCAGTTCTTCCATGGCCTGCATACTCACCAGACATGTCACCCATTGATCATGTTTGGTATGCTCTGGATCGTCGTGTGTTCCAGTTCCCACCAATATCCAGCAACTTCACACAGCCATTGAATAGGAGTGGGATAACATTCCACAGGCCACAATCAACAGCCTGATCAACTCTATGTGAAGGAGATGTGTCGGCTGCATGAGGCAAATAATGGTCATCAGATACTGACTGGTTTTCTGATCCACGCCCCTACCTTTTTTAAAGGTATCTGTGACCAACAGATGCATATCTGCCTTCCCAGTCATGTGAAATCAATAGATTAGGGCCTAATCAATTTAATTCCATTTTAACTCAGTAAAATCTTTTAAATTGTTGCATGTTGCGTTTTATATTTTTGTCATGAACAATGTGCCACTGTGTGAACTTGCACATTAACTGAATCTCTGCCAAGTGGATGAGTAGTGAAGATAAACAATGTGCTGTACCGATAAACTCCTTGCGCATCTTGTCTCTCTGTCGCAGGTCGTCTGTCCCAAAGATGATGGCGTTGATGACACTGAGGAGGGTGACCATGTAGGGCACATTGTCTGTGGCCTGCAGCTCATTCATGATCACACCGAAGCGAAACAGCTGGGTCTTCACACCCTTGGGGACAAATTAATACATTAGTCATACTGTATATCATTCACTCCCACTGTGTGAGGACAGCCCCATCCCCCCATACACGTAATGGTTTAATATTGATTAGTGAGTAACATTAATCAATGTATTGACAACTATGGATGTAACTAGATAACTGAATGAAGTTACTTAGGCAGTCCAACATCTGTACACTAGAGGGCATTTCTGGGGGCTAAGTCATATGGTTTTTCAGTAATGTATACTTTAATTAGTCTATTTAATGATATTCCTTTGAGCTGAAATAGCATGTTACAATTTTTTTTGTCATATCTGATTTCAGTCAGCTTTCATCAAAATCACACACATTGTTATGTGTCCTTTCCCCCCAGCATTCTTTTCCCTCTCATAATCCTTCCTAAATCACAATTAGGCAACTTATCTTGTAGGTGTATGGTATATAATTCCATAGCCTCTGTCCATTAGTGACAGCTTGTCTGGCTGTATGACACTTGCCTTGTAGTGGTCCAGGGCGTCCAGGGCCTGACGGTACCCATCAGAGGAGAACATGCTCAGGGCAGCAAGCAGCTCAAACACCTGCTTCTTCACCATGGTATTGGACGTGTCCAAGGCTGTGGTAAGACATGGTCACAGACATCAGTCAGTGTACACAAGGGGTGTATTCATTATGCCGATCGTGTTGCAAAACATTTAGTCAGAAACCGTTTACTCCAAACGGAAAAAGTTTTTCAATTAAAGTTTCTATTGGACAAATTCAGGTAGGTCCCTCCCTGTTTGGTTCCGTTTGCTCTGTTTGGTTCCGGTTGGTTTGATTCCGTTGCAAGATGAATACACCTATGTTTCATGGTCCTTGTATTACATCCTGCCTCTTTTCTTCTCCCTTGTCTGGTGTCCTCTAGAATGCTATGGCTTATTTTAAAGAAACGTAATGTGAACTTTGCCTCTTTTCTGAAAATGTTTGCCAGTGTGTGTGAAGATTTTGCTGTTATAAGTGTGTCAGTGTGTGTGACACAATAGCCTATATCTGACCTGAATTGTTCCATGTTGCCATTGTACTCCTCAATGTACAACTGAATAAAAATTCTTAAGGATTATGTATGTGCATTTATTCGCCTTAAAAAACAAAAAATCTATATATATATATATACAGTCCCAGTCCAAAGTTTGGACACACCTACTCATTCAAGGGTTTTTCTTTATTTTTACTATTTTCTACATTGTAAAATAATAGTGAAGACATCAAAGCTATCGAATAACACATATATAATCATGTAGTAACCAAAAACGTGTTAAACAAATAAGAATATATTTAATATTTGAGATTCTTCAAATAGCCACCCTTTGCCTTGATGACAGCTTTGCACACTCTTGGCATTCTCTCAACCAGCTTCATGAGGTAGTCACCTGGAATGCATTTCAATTAACAGGTGTGCCTTCTTAAAAGTTAATTTAAGGAATTTCTTTCCTTCTTAATGCGTTTGAGCCAATCACTTGTGTTGTGACAAGGTAGGGGTGGTATACAGAAGATAGCCCTATTTGGTAAAAGACCAAGTCCATATTATGGCAAGAACAGCTCAAATAATCAAAGAGAAACGACAGTCCATCATTTCTTTAAGACATGAAGGTCAGTCAATACGGAACATTTCAAGAACTTTGAACATTTCTTCAAGTGCAGTCGCAAAAACCTTCAAGAGCTATGATTAAACGGGCTCTCATGAGGACCGCCACAGGAACGGAAGTCCCAGATTTACCTCTGCTGCAGAGGATAAATTCATTAGAGTTACCAGCCTCAGAAATTGCAGCCCAAATAAATCCTTCACAGAGTTCAAGTCACAGACACATCTCAACACCAACTGTTCAGAGGGGACTGTGTGAATCAGGTCTTAATGGTCGAATTGCTGCAAAGAAACCACTACTATGGACACCAATAATAAGAAGAGACCTGCTTGGGCCAATAAACACGAGCAATGGACATTAGACCGGTGGACATTTGTCCTTTGGTCTGGAGTCCAAATTGGAGATTTTTGGTTCCAACCGCTGTGTCTTTGTGAGACGCGGTGTGGGTGAACGGATGATCTCTGCATGTGTAGTTCCCACCGTAAAGCATGGAGCAGGAGGTGTTATGGTGTGGGGGTGCTTTGCTGGTGACACTGTCTGTGATTTATTTAGAATTCAAGGCACACTTAACCTGCATGGCTACCACAGCATTCTGCAGCGATACGCCATCCCATCTGGTTTGGGCTTAGTGGGACTATCATTTGTTTTTCAACAGGACAATGACCCAACACACCTCCAGGCTGTGTACGGGCTATTTGACTAAGAAGGGGAGTGATGGAGTGCTGCATCAGATGACCTGGCCTCCCCAATCCCCCGACCTCAATCCAATTGAGATGGTTTTGGGATGAGTCAGACCGCAGAGTGAAGGAAAAGCAGCCAACAAGTGCTCAGCATATGTGGGAACTCCTTCAAGACTGTTGGAAAAGCATTCCAGGTGAAGCTGGTTGAGAGAATGCCAAGAGTGTGCAAAGCTGTCATCAAGGCAAAGGGTGGCTATTTGAAGAATCTCAAATATAAAATATATTTTGATTTGTTGAACACTTGTTTGGTTACTACATTATTCCATATGTGTTATTTGTAAAATTGTAAAATTAAGAAAAACCCTTGAAAGAGTAGGTGTGTCCAAACTTTTGACTGGTACTGTATATATACAGTATTTTTAATATATGTAAAAAAAAATTGTGCACACATACTTGATATCCTGTCTTATAAGCCCATACGGGCTGGGCACCAATTGGTGTCTGACACGGAAATAAAATCAATCAATCATTAGTGGAACTAATTCCTAGGTGCTGTTGAACCTTGGGAGAGTTTGCGGATGTAGCCCTCATTCTCCATGATAAAGTGGATCCCAGCCGAGGAGTTCATGATGGCCCGGACACAGCTGACACAGGTGAGCTGCAGCAGGGCATCTGTGATGCGGGAGCGGCCCCTCCCAGATAGCCTGTCCAGGGCCTCCAGAAGCAGGTCCAGCCCACTCAGCTCCAGGAACTGGACCATCCAGGACTCCTCGCTGCCCTCCAGACGACGCTTCAGCCCAGAGTAGTTGACCACACTGGGCACCTGGAGCATGCATATGCACAGCTCTGGGTCGGCACTCTCCAGGTTGGCCTCCAGCTGGGTGTCTGAGTCCTGGGAGGAGCCCAGATGGCCCCTCACCGCCGCCCACTTCCTCTTCCCATCCGACTTCACTGACATGGTGATGGAGAGGGTCTGTGGAGGGAAGTGAAGGTAGTTTAATTAATTAAGAGGGCAAGAGGTTCAGGGCAAGAGGTTCAGTTCAGCGTCATAGTGAGACTGTTGGTTTGCTGGACTGCAGTGTTGTTTGATAGAGTCCAATGTAAACATAAACCTGCTTACTATAAAGTGCTGAAAAGGGTGGAAAGTTAATCATATTTTGCCATTGATGGTCAAACTGTTATTGGCATGGTTTTGTGCAAACAAGCCATAAACTATTTGACCTGCAGATGGACTTTTGCATAAATATGCAGGACAACTAGTCCACATTACAATTGTTTCAGGGCTTTCCTGTCTAAAGGATGCAGGCCTTTATCACAACATAGCACATTCATAGGAAATGACAGCTCTGCACATTGTGGGACAAGTGAAAGATATGTCAGCAGTCCTGTCGTCATTAGTCCTGCCAAACATCCAACATCCAAACTTAATCCTGCAGTGAAAGGGACGTGACTCACTGTCAGCTAATCAACAGCAAACACAAAGACAGGCATGACACAGTGCATATTTATCGGAGATATTATTCTGTGTATATACTTTATTTTCATTTACATCCGTAAACAAGGTTTTGAGTAATATGCTGCAAAAGAAAAGTATCACTGTGAAGAGAAAATAACACCCAGGATATTAATAAGTTCATCTGATCTTTGACCATAAGTGGCATCCACTTGACCACAAATACACACATTTTGATCACACAAGTGACCTTTTCTGGGATAGCCCCAGAACACTGCTCCCTCACAGTAACCTGCCCCACCCCCACATACGGACAACATCCCTTGCAATGTGTAACCATCAGAGGAGGCTGGTAAGGGGAGGATGGCTCATAATAATGAATGGAATGGAGTGAATGGAACCAGGTGTTTGATGTGTTTGAGACCATTCAATATATTCCGTTCCAGCCATTACTATGAGCCTGTCCTCCCCATTTAAAGTGCCACCAGCCACCACTGGAAATCGGTGTATGCAAGCACCTACACTGACTCAGAAACAACAGGGTAGGGATTGAGTCTGAAAAAGGGTGAAAATCCCAGAAATCTATAAACACTTAATCTGTAGTTGCAAAGTGTGACATGTGCTGATCCAGCAATCTAATTAACAAAAGTATGGGTAAAATTCTCCTCCCAAAAAGCCTTTCATTATATCACACTTGGCAAGACTAACCTAAACAGATGGTGTTGGAGAGGATAAATATAAACAACAAAATTGCAGCTCTGCACGCAGCTCTGCAACACATGGCCTAGCTAAGGAATTTCAATTATGTTTCTGTGTTGAGTTTAACATAAAAGGTTCTCATTAAACACACTACACAGAATAACAAAAGGGTAAAAACACTGGGTACTGATGATAAGATTCCACCACAGTGGGAATTTACATGGAACTCAAGTTAACTCTAAAATGCAAGAAACTGTAAACTCCTACAAATTGGATTTCCATTCAGTTCTCAAGTTCCCTATAATTCAACAGGCAGGAGCTGTTCTGTTCCAGACACGTTTGTGGCGGGGGCTGATTCTCTCTGACTTGGGCTGCCAGTGTGACAGTGTTACCGTTGCAACCAGGCAAACAATGCCCTGTCACAACAGGCCTATGCATCCTCCGTCAAAGAGCTCTGTTCATTAGCTACAGAATGATCTGTTCCACCCCCCTCCAGGTGTCGCCCATCTTCCCCGTTATCCCCAGTGTATTTATACCTGTGTTCTCTGTTTGTCTGTTGCCAGTTTGTTTTGTTTTGTCAAGCCTACCAGCGGTTTTCCCCTGGCTCAAGTTCCTGTGTTCCTGGTTTTGACCATTCTGCCTGCCATGAGACTGCCTGCTGTTCTGTACCTTTAGGACTCTGATCTGGATTACTGACCTCTGCCTGCACTTGACCTGTCATTTGTCTGCCCCCTGTTTTTGTAATAAACGTTTTGTTACTTCGACACTGTCTGCATCTGGGTCTTCTCCTGAAACGTGATAGGGTGGAATGTCTCCTTCTTCACTGGCTGCCTTGCAAAAGTATTCATCCCCCTTGGCGTTTTTTCTATTTTGTTGCATTACAACCTGTAATTTAAATGAAATTTTATTTTTATTTCATGTAATGGACATACACAAAATAGTCCAAATTTGTGAAGTTAAATGAAAAAAATTACTTGTTTAAAATAATTCGAAAAAATAAATACCGGAAAAGTGGTGCATGCATATGTATTCACCCCCTTTGCTATGAAGCCCCTAAATAAGATCTGGTGCAACCAATTACCTTCAGAAGTCACATAATTAGTTAAATATAGTCCACCTGTGTGCAATCTAAATGTCACATGATCTGTCACATGATCTCAGTATATATACACCTGCAAGCGACACCATGAAGACCAAGGAGCTCTCCAAACAGGTCAGGAACAAAGTTGTGGAGAAGTACAGATCAGGGTTGGGTTATAAAAAAAATATCAGAAACTTTTAACATCCCACGGAGCACCATTGAATCCATTATTAAAAAATGGAAAGAATATGGTACCACAACAAACCTGCCAAGAGAGGGCCGCCCACCAAAACTCACGGACCAGGCAAGGAGGGCATTCATCAAAGACTCAACAAAGAGACCAAAGATAACTCTGAAGGAGCTGCAAAGCTCCACAGCGGAGATTGGAGTATCTGTCCATAGGACCACTTTAAGCCGTACACTCCACAGAGCTGGGCTTTACGGAAGAGTGGCCAGAAAAAAGCCATTGCTTAAAGAACTAAATAAGCAAACACATTTGGTGTTTGCCAAAAGGCATGTGGGAGACTCTCCAAACATATGGAAGAAGGTACTCTGGTCAGATGAGACTAAAATTGAGCTTTTTGGCCATCAAGGAAAACGCTATGTCTGGCGCAAACCCAACACCTCTCATCACCCCGAGAACACCATCCCCACAGTGAAGCATGGTGGTGGCAGCATCATGCTGTGGGGATGTTTTCCATCGGCAGGGACTGGGAAACTGGTCAGAATTGAAGGAATGATGGATGGCGCTAAATATAGGGAAATTCTTGAGGGAAACCTGTTTCAGTCTTCCAGAGATTTGAGACTGGGAAGGAGGTTCACCTTCCAGCAGGACAATGACCCTAAACATACTGCTAAAGCAACACTCGTGTGGTTTAAGGGGAAACATTTAAATGTCTTGGAATGGCCTAGTCAAAGCCCAGACCTCAATCCAATTGAGAATCTGTGGTATGACTTAAAGATTGCTGCACACCAGCGGAACCCATCCAACTTGAAGGAGCTGGAGCAGTTTTGCCTTGAAGAATGGGCAAAAATCCCAGTGGCTAGATGTGCCAAGGATATAGAGATGTACCCCAAGAGACTTGCAGCTGTAATTGCTGCAAAAGGTGGCTCTTCCAAGTATTTCCTTTGGGGGGGGTGAATAGCTATGCACGCTCAAGTTTTCTGTTTTTTTGTCTTATTTCTTGTTTGTTCACAATAAAACATATTTTGCATCTTCAAAGTGGTAGGCATATTGTGTAAACCAAATGATACAAACCCCCCCCCAAATCCATTTTAATTCCAGGTTGTAAGGCAACAAAATAGGAAAAATGCCAAGGGGGGTGAATACTTTCACAAGCCACTGTATACTCAAGCATTTGAACACCTTACAAGGATCTACAATCTATTCAACTGTACAAAGTGATGTACAGTAGGGTCCATGGTAAATAGAAGGGTCGTTCCACCAATTCTGTGCCTTTTGAGTAGTGTAACTTGGTGAATTATTTTATTTTATTTCACCAAATGTTACCATTCTGTCATAAAGAGCACATGTTCAATAGAAAACATGTTTTCCCATCTCAGTAAGTGCCTATTAAGTGCCAAATAAAGTAACAAGGTTGACGACTTCATCTTAAATCATCCACAAATCCCCTTGTGACAGGGAGAATCAAAGTATGTATTATTATTTTATTTTATTTTATTTTTATGGTGTTGCAGTGGATAGTGGCCATTTTACGGGCTCCTGACCAATTCTGCTATTTCGTTTTTTTATGCTAATCTTCACTTTTTTTGTACATAATGTCTCCTCCATCACTTCCTATGACCCCAAATGGCTTCTGGACATCAGAACAGTGATCACTAACCTCGTTGAAGATTTCTCCTTCAATGAGTCGGCAGCTCTGGACGTTATGCTTACTCTGGACCAAGCTCTAATCCCCGGAACTCGAAAGAGGAAGCGGCAGTGAAAAATAGGCAGGCGAGGCGGCCTCCTAACGGGATTAGGTCGGCAAACAAATAGGCCACCATTGCCCTATGTACTGTTGGCGAATGTGCAGTCACTGGAGAACAAACTGGATGAACTCCATTCGAGACTATCCTATCAACGGGACCTAAAGAACTGTACTATTATATGTTTCTCTGAGTCTTGGCTGAACAAGGACATGGATAATATATATCTCGCCGTTTTCTCCATGCATCATCTAGACCAGACGGCAGCCTCGGGTAGGTAAGCTTAATGGGCAGGGGTGGGCCCTTTAATATAGACCACATGGAAAATTATATACATCTGAATGGAGGACATCCTCCCTAAAGGCTTTCTCATCCTTGTCGGTGATCAGGCCTACCACCATCGTGTCGTCAGCAAACTTAATGATGGTGTTGGAGTCGTGCACAGCCACGCAGTCATGGGTGAACAGAGAATACAGGAGGGGACTAAGCACACCCCTGAGGGGCCCCCGTGTTGAGGGTCAGTGTGGCGGATGTGTTGTTGCCTAGCCTGACTACCTGGGGGCGGCCCATCAGGAAGTCCAGTATCCAGTTGCAGAGGGAGGTGTTCAGTCCCAGGGTCCTTAGCTTAGTGATGAGTTTGGAGGGCACTATGGTGTTGAACGCTGAGCTGTAGTCAATGAACAACATTCTCACATAGTTGTTCCCTTTATCCAGGTGGGAGAGGGCAGTGTGGAGTGCATTAGAGATTATGTCATCTATGGATCTGTTGGGGCGGTATGCAAATTGGAGTGGGTCCAGGGTGTCTGGGATG